ATTTTCAAAACATGTCATGGCACATTGAAAACAACAAACTATATTTCTTTTCGAATAACAAAATTATTTCTTCTTCGTTCCCATATTATAGTTGTATAGTAACAAATACCTATATTTGGTTACATATGGTTATTAACTCACTAATAACATTAAGATCCAATTAATTCGTAAAAAAATGTAGAAATACGAACACATATAAGTTCGTCAAACACTCTTATCTGTAAATAAAAACAGGTCTTTACTCACTAATAAATATTGATCTCTAAACATTCCACACAACCCCTTAACAAACATGTTTCATCTTTTTCTCTTCAATCCATTAAACTATATTTCTTTGTATAATTTAATAAAATCTTAATTATTTTTAAAATGCTAATTCACTATTTAACAATAATATACTACCAACCTACAAATTAGACAATAACAACATAATAAATCACCCATCCTAGACATAAAAGCACTAATAACACAAATATTCGAGAAAATCATTATTAAAATAATATATGAATATTTCAAAGCATATGAATTTTCACTCATTCATATACCAACTAAATTCAATGGGGTTTTCAGTTAAACCCCAAACAAAAAAATGTCCAAAAAAATGACAAAATCCCATCTATAAAACATCATAACGCATCATCACTGTCTCCGGCTCCGCGCTTGCGCGGAGCTATGAACCTAGTGTTATTAAGATATAAATGAAACCTTATTTCCTAGGAATGGTCTATTTTAAAAAATATCACAATGAAGAGAAGTCAATAGATATTTCCCCAAAAATAAAAATTTGTGGGTTAAGGGATTTGTGTTAGTTAAGTGTTTTCCTATGTATGTAGAAGATTAAGGGCGTTAACTAAACAGGTCGTTTTTTTTAATCCAGCCTATAAAAGCCCCACTTCTAAGGAAAAAAGAAAAGAGAAAGTTACTTCGCCGTTTTTTATTGTTCTTTCATCACTCTGCTTAACGCCGACTGTTCTCACTCAAAATCGCTCCCTCGTTCGTTCGATCGATCAATTCCCTACCCAGGTATAATCTTCTTCGGCTCTCTCCCTCGTTTCATTGTTCTTCTCAGATTCGCCCTAAAATTCCGTTCCGAAGCGTATTGTTTCATCTCTTTCCATCGCAATCGTATCGATTTCTAAAAACCCTAATTAGTTTCGTTCTTCCGTGAATTTTTTCGACCTAGATTAGTAAGGATTCAATCAGAATACGTTTGGGTATCTATTTGTTGAATCAGTTAGATCGTTTTTGACGCATAAGCCCTAATTTTCGAAACCCTAATTTCTCGAGCGCTCGATTCTGAAACTTGTTTGCTTTTATGTGTTCAGGTGTTTTCGACTAAAGAAACAATGGTTGGAATAACCAAACTGAGGATAAAGTTTGGACCTGAAGGCTCTGTCAAAGCCTTCCAAACGTTTAACGCTAAGAGCACTGAGAAACCTATTTCTGAAGAAGAAGAAGGTGTAATGAAACCCTTGAATCAGTCAAGGAAGCGTGGACCTGACGAGCTAGAGGAGGTTCAAGTTAACAAGAAGCAGAAGCTGAACCGTGTTTTGTCTAGTCAGTGTCTCACCCTCTTGAAATCATTGTTGGCACACGAGTTTGGGTGGCTGTTTAGGGAGCCTGTGGATCCTGTTAAGATGAACATTCCTGATTACTTCTCTGTGATATCGAAGCCCATGGATCTAGGCACTATCAGTTCCAAGCTTTTGAAGAATGTGTACAGCAGTGCGGATGAGTTTGCTGCGGATGTCAGGTTGACTTTTAACAATGCGTTGAGGTATAATCCTCCGGAGAATTCTGTTCACGTCGTGGCGAGGGAGCTTCTGGAGAGTTTTGAGGTTAGATGGGAATCTCTTAAGAAGAAAAAAGTTTCAGAAGATTCTCGAAGGCAACCAGTTGAAGTTGGTTGTATAAGACATAGCAGCCCTGAAACATCAGCTTCCTCTGGGAGGCTCTCTGTGGAATTGCCAAGACCATTGAAAGAGAAGTCTCAAAAGGTTCCTCTTTTGTTAAAGCCAGTGACAAAGCTGAGCAAAAAGGATACTCCTGTTGTCACACCGACAGCTTTAGCAACAAAGGTATGATATATAAACGTAATGCATGGCTTGTTAGTGTGATAATGGTTGCTTTTTTTACTGATACGATTGACATATGTTTGATGTTTTCAGTTGAGGATTAAGAAGTTCGAGAAGGGCCTTGGTTCGACTGTGGAAAACCCAAGCAAAGGTACTACGTCAGGAAATTTTACTTTACTATTAAGTGGCTTCTCAGTAGTGTATATAACTGTATGCATATTATGCAGGTTCAACTCCAACTTCAACCTGCAAATGTAGTTCATGTGGTAGGATAACTTGCATATGCCTCAAGTCTTGTAACTCATCTGGAAGTGAAGTTTCTACATTGACGGTATAACCAGATTATTGCCTGATTTTTGATGAGTTTGATTCTCCTCTTGTTCTTGTCATTGGCAAAAGAATTCTTATTTTGATACTCTTTTGAAAACAGGATTATCTGGTAAAGGAGAATTCATGTTCACAGGCGAGCGAGTCAGATCCACATTCCAATGGTGAGGAATTTAAAGCTCTTTCGTTTCCCTTTTTTGTTTCATTTAAACGCCTCTTAAATCTGTTTCTGCTACTTTTGTAACATTTTATACTTGTTTTGTTTCTTTTTAGGGTCTATAAGCTCAAAGAGTGATTGTGTCAGTTCTCAGCTTGATACACCTTTGGATAATGGCAAGTTATCATTCCTCTCTTATGGTCTATGGGCTTCCTATAGTATGGTTTCTTAGGATCTCTCTCTGATTCTACAGAGTTGAAAAAGCCATTACCTCCTATGCCTCCGTTGCCACCTGAGAAGGCTATTCGTGCTGCAATACTCAAGTGTCAGTTTGCAGAGACCATCCTGAAAGCTAAACACAGAAAAGTCCTTGACAAGGTATCATCATTACTTTGTTGATTCCGATCACAAAATTAGAGATTTTCACAGCTTTTGCTTTACTGAAAGTTGCTGTGTTGTTCGCAGAGTAACAAATCTGATCTGATTAGGATACAGATAGAAAAGGAAGAGATGGAGAAAACTCAACGTGAAGGTACACTATATTACACGTTCTAATGGAATTAAGAAAACGCTTAAACTTTTCGGTCTTATCACTTGTTGACGTTTAAAATTTTTTGCAGAGAAAGCTAGAATTGAAGCAGAGATTGCAGCCGCTAAGCTTGCTGCAAGAATGAGGGAAGAAACCGAGGTGAAAGAGAAACGTGAGAGAGAACGGCTCGAGCTAGAAATGGTATTTTTAAGAATTTTAGGAACCCCTTTTTACAGTTTCTTAAAAACCCATTTTAGCAAATCGAAGAAACCACGATTATGTTTTTGACAGATGGTCCAAGAAGTTGACTTTGAAGAGAATAACGCCTCGAAGTTTAACGAGAATATGCTTAACCTCTGTGGTAGCTGTGATCCGACAAGAACTTGGTTACCTGAGTTGGGTCTGTTTCTAATAAACGATGAAGATGATTCGGACGAGGATGACTCGGTAATTTCCGATGCTATGAGAATCGACGATCTTGAGGAGGGAGAGATCTTGTAGTTTCATCTTAATAGAGAACCTCTTGGTTGTAATTTTTGACCAGAACAAAGGTTATATTATGATGACCTGAACTTTGTTAATATATGAAACTATGGTTGTTGCTCGTAGATTATATATGAGATATTTTCTTGTACTTTTCATAGTCTTTATCGGATGCGAGATGCATGTTCTTAAGCAACTTCAGAAATATGAAATTGTTGTACATGGAATTGTATTTCATGGTTGAAAACACACATGATCAGTGTTGTGAAGAATATTATTGACTTGATATTTTAACCACGATTTTGATATTCTCTTTATATGATACAACTGTTGACTTCTATATAGATACAGACGTAGAAACGCATATACATGCAACGAACAACCGAATTTGTCTATTGACTTTCATATAGACCTATTTTTAGGGTAAAATAACTATTTGTTTTTCAGGTAACCAATTTTCTTTTTATTTCATATGTGAGTGACTGCATCACGATTTGATTTGTCAGGCATTGGTTGATTTAAAAGAATTACTAGATCTTTACTGCGCAACCGCGCGGGTATTACTTTCAGTTTTATATACATATGTTATTTATTTTATGAATATATATTTTTAACGTTGAACATATATTTAAATGTTCTTATAAATGTATTGTTAATTTTAAGATGTTCTTATGTATTAAGTGAATGAAAATGGAAATTAAATATGGTTGTTAAGATTTTATTATACAAATACAAAAGATAAGATTACCATTTTTCTAAGGAATGGTCCACTTTTAAAAAAATTACACATGAAGAGAAGTTGTGACTTCTCCTTTAATATAATAGACTAGATTTCGACCCGCACAACCGTGCGGGTATTTTAATACGAAAATATTTGAAATTATATAATAAAATTTATCAATAAATAAATATAATTTGATTATTTATGCTATCCAATTTATAATCATTTTTATGTAACTTATAATATTATTAATATAAAATTTATAAATTTGTATTTTTGTAGTAATTTAATTATTATGTAAGATTACTAATTTATATATTTTGTTTATTTCTAAATTTAAAATCTATGTAAAAATTAATTAAGTTGGACCTACATAATACATAAACAAAATTTTGTGATATTGTTAAAAGTATTTTACATAATTTCAATTTTTTGTTTATAAATTAAAAATGAATTAAAATTTTAATTATATTTTATGATATTAAGATTTTAATCAAATAATTTTTGAAACTATATCTTGAAAAAGATTCTAAAAGATTTTGTTAGAATTTTCTTAAAACTATTTATTTGTATTTCAAACAAAAAATTAAAGATATGAAAAGATATTATAATTTTATGTAAAATTTTATAAAACTCTAAAGATGGTCCAAACTAAGATATCACACATGAAGTGAGTCATGACTTCTCTTTTAATATAATAGATTACCTATTTCTAATATATGATTTTCTTGAAAAAGTAAGATATTTGCATCCAGTTCCAACGAACAACCGAATTTGTCTATTGAGTTTCATATAGACCTATTTTTTAGGGGAAAATAACTATTTCTTTTTCAGGTAACCAATTTTTTTTTTTCATATTTCAGTGACTGCATCACGATTTGATTGGTCAGTCATTGGTTAATTTAAAAGAATTATTACCTATTTTTAATACTAGGTGTTTTGCCCGCACTTGCGGGCATAATTCTCTTATGAATATTTATTAGTTGATTTTTCATTAATTTAAAAATCAGCATAACTTATACTATTATTTTTCATTAATTTATATTTAATTATAATTTTATATCTTAATTTTAAATTTTATAATAGAAAAACACATTTTCAAGATAACAATATAATGCATAAGTTATTTATTTTCTAAAAATATAATATGATAAAAAATTTAATTATCTAATATTATGAAAATTATGACATATAAATAAAATTATCTTAAATCATGGAGAACTTAATGAATTAGCAAATTCACTTCGTAAATATTTTTGTGAGTGCTGATTTATATTTAATTATTAATAGATAATTTTTTTATTTTACTTTTAAATTATATAATATAAAAATATATTTTCAATATAACAACATAATACATAAGAATTAACTTATTTTATAAAATTATAACATTATTAGTGTAAATTTATTTCAATTATAGAATAACCTACAACTTTTATATCTTAATTTTAAACTTCTAATAGAAAAATATATTTTCAAGACATCAACTTAATAAGTAAGATTTATCTTAATTTCTAAGAATCTGATACTATTAATATAAATTTGTTCTAAATATATAATAAAATATATATAAAATTATATAAGTTATGATAAATTATCAAAGTTACCTAAAATTGTGGAAAATATGACAAATCAACAAACATCAGATTCACTTCTTAAATAATAGTATAGATTTTTTACATGTTAATTTTCAGTTTTATAATAGAAAAATATATTTTCAAGATAACAGCTAATACATAAGAATTAAATTATTTTTAAAAATATCATATTATTAATATAAATTAGTCTTAATTATATAATAAATAATAAACAAATTAGAGAAATTCTGATAAATGATCAAAATTACCTAGGATTATGGAGACAAATCAACAAATTCACTTTTCAAATAATTTATTTGATGATTTATATTTAATCATTCATAATATAAGTTTTATATCTTAATTTTAAGTTTCATAATAGGAGAATATATTTTCAACATAACAACATAATACATAAGAATTATTTTAATTTATAAAAATAGAAAAATTATTAATATAAATTCGTTTTAGCTATATAATAAATAAATATTTTTTATATATTAATTTAAAATTAAGTTTTATATATAAAAATATATTCAAGATAACAACATAATTCACAAGAATTATCTTATTTTTTAAAAATATGATACATTCATATAAATTCATTTTATTTATAAAGAAGTTATATATAAATATTAAAAATATGGTAAATAAAACTCACCTAAACTTATGGAAAACATGACAACTAATAATTATTTTATTTTAGAAAAATAGAAAAATTATTAATATAAATTCGTTTTAGCTATATAATAAATAAATATTTTATATCTTAATTTAAAATTTAACTTTTATATATAAAAATATATTTCAAGATAACAACATAATTCACAAGAATTATCTTATTTTTAAAAAATAGGATATATTCATATAAATACATTTTATTTATAAATAAATTATATATAAATATTAAAAATATGGTAAATAAACAAAACTACCTAAACTTATGGAGAACATGACAACTAAGCAAATTTACTTCTTAAATAATAGTATAGATATGATTTTCTTGAAAACGTAAGATATTAGGGGATCTAGACAATTTTAAAAATATTTAGCATCTATACAATTATAACAAAAGTTTTTTTTCAAAGTGTCCTTATGTTTTGAAAGTAATTACAATTTCATGCCACTAGAATATTTTAAAGCTATGATTTTCATTAAATCTTTTATTTTGCAAACAAAATAATTGACAAAATCTTTGATTGAATCCTTTTTAAATCTTTTGGAATATTTTAAATCTATGATTTAAAGTATTTACAACTACATGCCACTGCTTTATTTAAATAAAATATTTTTTTCTGAACAAAAAATAGAATAAATCTATAATTAAGAAACTATTCCAAAGAATATATCAAACTTATTCTCTCCAAACAATATTTTCAAATCAATCGACCCAAATACAATTCAGGTTACATATAGTACCAACTACTCTCAAGTCATCACTGTTGTTTTATCAAGTATTTAAAATACATACCTAAATGTATGGTATTCCAGCAGATACAGTTTTCACCATATCCTACATAGGCATAAGAACCAATCTGAGTAGGACACATAAACTAAAAAAAAGTGATTCAAAATTCCATACACTTCTCAACAGCAATGGTAGTTTCATATACTCTTTCATTATTCTGGCACTAGAAATGTGTCATTTAGATTTTCATATCATATAACAAAACTGTATACATACTAATGCATATAGTCATTTGGCCAATATCATTAGCACTATTCTCAAGTCATCAATTTAGTGATATAACGTGTTTAGAATACTAACTTAAACATATACGATCTCAGCTGATGAAAGTTTTCGCCTATATATTACAAATGTGTACTATAATTTGATGAACATATACTAAATATCTCAGCTTACATGATATTCTATATTTAAAAAAAAAGATTATATTTAAATAATAATTTTAAAAAGCAGTAAAATTACCTTTTGCGGTTTGCAAATCTAAACACAAGAACCTCATATTATAATCTATATTATTAAAAGTAAATGCATCCTTGAAAAATCGACTGATGGAAGTTGTGTGCAACCTCATTAATGGCATTTTGGTAATTTATTTTCAGTCATACATCTATATATATATATTGATTTGTTACAAATCATATCACATATTGCATATAACCCGAATTATTCTTTCTCTTCCCATTAATTACTCTAACCATATTTGATTTTATATTTTATACATTTATATTACCCTGGTTATACAAGGGAATATGGTTAGCGTAATTAAATATGTGATATGATTTGTAACATTCGATATAGCAGCTATTGTCCTTTTTGTATATGCATAAATATGTGATATGATTTGTAACATTTGATATCATATAATTTGTAACATTTGATATCATATGATTTGTAACATTATGTTACTACACTATATATTACATGATTCAAATATATATCAAACCCATTTTAAATATGTGATATGGTTTGTTACATTCGATATAAAACATTGTCCTTTTAGTATATGCATAAATATGTGATATGATTTGTATGATAAGATATGATTTGTAACATTTGATATCATATGATTTGTAACATATGGTTACTACACTATATATTACATAATTCAAATATATATCAAACCCATTTTAGTAGTATAGATATGGCCAGAGTAATTAAATATGTGATATGATTTGTTACATTCGATATAAAACATTTTATTTTTGGTATATGCATAAATATGTGATATGATTTATAACATCCGATATAAAAC